AGGTGAGCTATAAGGACTTTGACTAGGACGTATAATTCCATCATCTAACATTTTATTTATCTGTCTTTGAACTTCCTCCTTGTGAACAAAAGTTTTGGTTGAGGGATATACCCAGTAACCTGGTGAATGCCTAATACATGGTACATTTGTCAAAGTTAATATAAACTACACTCAGTTGTATGTCAGGAACAAATTAAAACGGATTAAACATATTTAAAAATGAAAGTTAAAATTACATCATGAACCACCTGATGTAGCACAAAATGGTGGGCAATGGATCATAAGTAGGATGAAACATTTGGCAGGTGTCTGAAGGTTGGTGGTGTCAGTGTCGATGGATGGAACGAAAATATTATGTAAAGTGTGTGCTATGTTGCCAAATCACTTGATGGTGTTATTTGTCAAGATATGTTAAATAAGAACTCAACAGACCAGAGGCAGTTGAACAAGCTATATTGTTGATGAGATGGAAAGTTGAATTAAACAATTATTATTTTATTATGAGAAAAAACAATTATTCAACTTTGAATGGAATGGAAATTTTGGAGGGAAAGGGTGGAATAGACCAAAAACAGATTCTATTTATGGTTGTGAAAAGTCGAAATTTGGAGAGATATGTACGTATTCCAACTTTTCGCAGTTTAGCAAATATGAGTAAATGGCGCTCAGTTGTTTAACATCTGTCTTCTTATTCATACCGTTGTCATTCATGAAAATGTGGGACACTTCCAGGAATAAACGTTTGGATAGGTGTTTTTCTTTATCAAGAACTTTGATACTTGTGTAGTTCATAGAGTGTCCTGTTGTATTGACATGAGATGCCAGAGCATATCTCTCGGGGTGAAGTCTAGAATCACTTTTGTGTGATGAAATCCTTCCTTTTAGAGATCTAGAGGTCTGACCTATGTATATTTGGTTGCAATTATTGCAATTGATAGAGTAAACTGTGTTGGTTAAGCCAAGCAGCGGGACTCTTTCTTTCTGTCTTTCATCTTTGAAAAGATACAGTTTATAGTGAGGATGGATTTGCAAGCAATACAACAGTTCAACGGGCGACATAGTCGGATCAGCTTAGGGGTCAGTTCTTTGATATAGGGTAGGACAGCAAAACCAGATCTGGAATTTGGGATGTCGGTTATATTGTTATTAGAATTGGTATTGTTGTTGGGAATTATATCAGTTCTATACTAAGTGACATATAAATCCGAACACCAAGTTTAAATGGTTTGATTTTAATAAAATTTTGTATAAGTACTTAATGAAGCATAATAAGTAAATGATAAAAATTTCAAAATGATTGCACTGCTTTAAAGCCCTTTGACCTTTAATAATGTGTGGATGCACCCTGATGTGCCACGCATTCTCCAACGCGCCTAGGCATGCTTCTGATCAGGTGGTCAATGTCCTCCTGTGGTATCTCATTCCAGGCAACCACCAACTCCTCTCGAAGTGCTTCTAGAGTCTGAGGAGGACGTTGCAAATTAAGCAATCTCCTACCCATCATATCCCACACGTGCTCAATTGGGGATAAGTCGGGAGATCTTGGTGGCCATGGTAACAATGTGACATCATTATGTTGAAAGAAGTCTATTGTGACTCTTGCAACATGTGGTCGGACATTATCTTGTTGTAAAGTTGGATCTGCCAGGGTGTCAAGATAGGGTAAAAGATGGGGTTCTAGAACTTCGTGGATATAACGCTGCGCGTTCATGTTACCTCTGATGAAGATTAAAGGTGACCTGGAACCATAAGCTATAGCACCCCAAACCATAACTCCAACAGTGTGATGAACATGTCTTTCAACAAAAAACTGTGGATTCCTCCTTTCACCACGTCGCCTTCTAACCCTTACACCGACGTAATCGCCTTGAGTGGTGCAGACAACGGTCACCCTGGGATCAGGAATGGAACAGTATTGTCTTTAGTGACGAGTCTCGATTTTGTTTAGGCATGCACGATGGTCGTGCCAGGGTTAGAAGGCGACGTGGTGAAAGGAGGAATCCACAGTTTTTTGTTGAAAGACATGTTCATCACACTGTTGGAGTTATGGTTTGGGGTGCTATAGCTTATGGTTCCAGGACACCTTTAATCTTCATCAGAGGTAACATGAACGCGCAGCGGTATATCCACAAAGTTCTAGAACCCCATCTTTTACCCTATCTTGACACCCTGGCAGATCCAACTTTCCAACAAGATAATGCCCGTCCACATGTTGCAAGAGTCACAATAGACTTCTTTCAACATAATGATGTCACATTGTTACCATGGCCACCAAGATCTCCCGAATTATCCCCAATTGAGCACGTGTGGGATATGATGGGTAGGAGATTGCTCAATTTGCAACGTCCTCCTCAGACTCTAGAAGCACTTCGAGAGGAGTTGGTGGTTGCCTGGAATGAGATACCACAGGAGGACATTGACCACCTGATCAGAAGCATGCCTAGGCGCGTTGGAGAATGCGTAGCACATCAGGGTGCATCCACACATTATTAAAGGTCAAAGGGCTTTAAAGCAGTGCAATCATTTTGAAATTTTTATTATTTACTTATTATGCTTCATTAAGTACTTATACAAAATTTTATTAAAATAAAACCATTGAAATATGTTAAATCGTTGTGTCTCCAAGGGCGTGCGTCAGCTTAGTGAACGCAGCTGTAATCCGCCGAAAATGATTTAGAGTAAACGCAGCCACAAAGTGACAGATCTAGGCTTGAGACATACGACTCCTTCCTCTGAGGTCGCTCGTGTCGTTCATCTCTCTTCAGTGAGTCGTTCATTTGAACGATACGATTACCGTCCGCCCTCGAAGCTGCCGAGAGTATCTTGTTGCCTATAGTAACGACTCACTGAGTCAGAGAATATACATCATTTTTTTTTATTTTTTTTATACTCCAACTACCACGAAGGCCTAAGGCCTAAACACCCATTGGTACCGTGGGGCTATAGGGGGATACAGGGGAAAGGGGGAACGCCACACGGACTCTGGCGAGGGAACACGTGTGCATGCAACGTGCACACATTCTGGCTCCGCCTACGAGATCCGCCGGGTGGTACCTCCACGTTCAACAGTCAGAGACCGTCTACCACCTACGGACAATCACAACATCCATAGCCAAGAGAAAAATTTCTCCTGGGACGGGACTCGAACCCGCACAGAGCACGGCGACTGATCAGGAGACCGAAGAGTCTACTACTACGGCCACCGCTGCTGCCTCATACTATGAAAACGAAATATGAAGGGTTGGGGTTGCCGATATTATTGTATTTAATTTCAGTATTAATATTTATGGTTGAAATTGAATATAACGAATATTACTGTCTTCCGAAAAAAAGGGGATATGTGATACGGTTTTGAGAAATTACCGAATTCTGAATCAAAATGCAATTTTTGCTCTCAGATTCCATCATTTCAACGTATAATTTAATGATACATCTCAAAACAAAACAACCGGGTTCTCTAGTGTCTATACTGTTACCACGTGGTCAGTTCGCAGTTCCGTTGCTGCATACTGCAGATACACTTTTCCGGTTTCTCAACCAGGCTCAAAAAGATGTATCGGGCATCTGATCTGAATACGAAACATACGTAACAAACCGACCGATGTCGATGTTTGGAGCAACATGACTTGAAACCCACATGCGTCTGTTGTTGCTTACATATGGGGTGCAACATATACATACGTAAACAATGGCAGCGTGCAAATTAGGAAGACAATCTGGAATTGGATTGTGCTGGCAGTGACAATGGTACGAGGACATTTTACTTCCTACGTCACTGAGCGAGGAAGCACTGTAATCACCAAAAATTTCTAAAATGAGATGTTATGTTTTTTGGATATTATATGACATGTACCCACATAACGAAAAACTATGGCATCTGCTCCTAACAGATCAATCGGACACAACATAATTATAATAAAAAATCATGATTCTGTACACACAATGTAAACATGAATATGTATCTTACTGATATCATTGTATTTCTTGAATTATATGCGTCAAAATAGCGATTAGTCTTCGATTTTTTAAGTATATTGCTACAAAAAAAAAATGTGTTTACTATAGATAATATCTTTTATTAAATATTGATGAACGTATACCTGATGCATTGAACGATGTGTAAAAGGGACATGTTTTTGTATTTTTTTTGCCTTTTAACTAACTAAACAGAAACGTTCCCGAAATGACCGATTTCAGTGAAGGCTCTGCTTAAAAGCTATATTACAAAAAATTAGTAAGTTCTGTGCTCTGTCCTGCCAGAGTATTATTTGAATATAAATTTAACAACAGTATAAACTAATGACATCGTTGTGATATTTTTCGTCACAAAACTGATTTCCAAATTTGCCACCTTGGTGATTTTGACCCAGTGACTTGCAAGCAATTTTTGTAAATTCCACCTCTAAGAGGGTAAAGTGGGAATTCACACTTTTCAAGGTTTTGCAGAGAAGTTAGAATATTTCAAATTAATCCCGCCTAAAAACAGGATATCGTCGATGAAACCAGAAAACCGTGTAACTCCATTTTTATCAAAATCGAGGTTTTAGCACCACCTGTTGGCGAACGTCGATTGCTATCGGCAGTAAAAGCCGTGTATCTCCTAACGTTATTTAAATAGTTCAAATAGCGCGATTAGGAATCGGTGTAACTCCATACTGCTCAGAAACGGCGCGAAAATTGTGTATCTCCTGTCCCTATAGTGTAGTACAGAGTTATGTTGACGTTGTCCAAAAGTGCTCATTTCTTACAGAATAGTCCATAAATATTGATGTTGTGGTTACATGCTACAAGGTAAGTTCTCAATCATGCGTTTTTATACCACAATTAGTTCAATTGGATAAATATTCCTTAGTTTAAGACATCATATTTTTGGATCTGGAGATACACAATTTTCTGTGAATAAGAACTAACGTATTATTGGAGATACATGTTATGCAAACATTTAAAAATCAAGAAATTTCTCTTGTTGCAGAATGTCACGTGGATTAAAAATTCTTGAAATGTTGAATCTGGATGTTCCGATGGCTGCCATTTTACCAGAAAATAATACAAACGTTGTTGGAAATGAAATTGCTTTCGAATCCTCTAGTCCTAGTACTAAATCAGGACATGGCACAACTTTGAACTTAGACATTTCTGATGTATTAACTGGGGCAATTAACAACGACATAATATTTGACTGCAGTCAAGTGGCTGCTAGCCAATCTTATTCACAAGATAACGATTTGTTTCCAAGTTACCATACTATGGATGAAAGCTTATTGGAAAGTAGTTTAAGACCTGCTGATGATGAAGCACAAAGTTTTGATCAGTTGTTGAATGAAGACCGTGCTAATATCGCCATATCTATTGAGAGTGATTTAGAAAATATAAATTATTTGAATACATCGTGTGGACCTATTGAAGGACAACTACATACAAATGATCAGCTTAGTGATGCTAAGTCACAATCTATGAGCACAATACGGTCCAAAGGCAGCTAGGATTGCCATATAAAGGTAAAAAAAAAGACTGCCAACAAATGGGATTATGAAATAAATAAGCCGGGTAAATTTTTATCAGATCCTTGCAACTGCAAGTTGTCTGATAAAAAGACTAAATTGGAGTGCCGAAAGCTGTCAGAAAAAGAAAGAAAATCACATTTCGAGTCCTTTTGGAAAAAAACCCTGCCAGAAAAAAGACAGTACGTTAAATGTTCGGCAAAACTACACCAAGTCAAACGCCGACGAGGCGAAGACGATCAGTCGCGGAGGAATTTTTCGATCACCTATCACCTAGAAGTTAATTTTGAATCGTACCGAGTTTGCAAGAAAATGTATAACAACACCCTTGGACTTAGAGGAAACTGCGTGGTTTCCTGGATAAAGGCTGACCTAGGTGGCATAGCTGATGATGAAGTACCACAGTCTTTAATCAAATCAGGCAAACAACGTAAAAAAGTGAGCGAAGACTTGAATCAAGGGGTTGTAAATTTTTTCAATTCTATTCCTAAGATGGAGAGTCACTATTGTCGGGCTTCAAGCCAAAGATTATACTTAGAGCCAATATAGCAAAGCAAGCAAGACCTGTATAGCGAGCAATAGTGTATTGAACAAAACGTCCAGGCTGTTTCACGTACATTGTTTAGCGAAAAAATGACTCAAATGAACATCTCCCTCTTCAGACCCAGAAAAGATCAATGCGACATCTGTGTTGCATACAAGACCAAAAATATATCAGAAGATGAATATGAACGACATTTAGTTCTAAAGGACGAGGCTAGAATGGCCAAGGATGCCGATAAATGCCAAGAGGATCTTGTTTTCACGATGGACATGCAATCCGTCTTACTAACCCCGCTTAATAAAGTATCCACCATGTACTATAAGACAAAGCTTGCTGTACATAACTTTACGATTTATAATATAAAAAATTCTCTTCAATTATAACGTCCTTTATTGAAACTGAAGTATTACCAAAAGTCGTGAATAAGCCGGTCAAAATTATTTTGTGGAGTGATGGATGCGTCGGACAAAATAGAAATAATGTTCTGTCTAATGCACTACTGAATTTATGCATTTTGCACAAAATAACAATAGAACAAAAATATCTTTTCAAGGGACATACACAGATGGAAGCAGATTCTATGCATTCCGCAATTGAAAGGACAGTACGGAATAGGGACATAAACCTTCCAGCAGATTACGTTTTACATTGTCTAAAAGCACGAACAGTCCCATTTCCATATAAAGTTCGGCATCTTCATCACACATTTTTTAAAGATTTCTCGAATATTAAGTACTATCAATGTATAAGGCCTGGTCGAAAAGTGGCAGACCCAACAGTAACTGACCTGAAACCTATAAAATATAACTCTGAAGGATTCATTGAGTACAAACTACGGCATAGTGACCAGCAGTGGACCCCGTTGGATTCTAGAGTGAGAAAACCTAACAATATTTTTAGAAATTTCGGAGATTTACCGAGCCTTTACAAACAAAGAAGGGGGATTAAAAAAGAAAAATTCGATCATCTGCAGATCCTCAAGGGTTCGCTTGATAAAGATTATCACGATTACTATGATAACATTTTATATCAGTAAGCTATATTATTTTCAATAACATGTTTTTCTAATCTGTATCAGAGTTTTGTTTGTAACGTATAACAATTTATCTGTTCACCATGTGTTAATGTCATGCAACTTGTGTATCTCCTATTTTGTGTCATTTATTAAATAGAAATATGTGAATCTCCAAGAAAAATGTCAAAGCACAAAAAAAATAAAAAACTATGTATTTTATATAAATGTTATGCCTAATCGCCAACAACAAACACAATAATAACTAATTTTTAATAACCGGTTCAGAAACACAATGTTCTATTGGTCTCCTGTAAAATCAGTGTTAGAGGAGATACACATTTTTCTGGTTTCATCGACGATATACAATGTGTTTGGTCACGACATACCAATTAGTGCGTGTATGAAAATTCTAATAACTGAGTAGATAAGTGTCACAGAACGATAAATTTGGTGACAATTGAACAATCGCATGTTGTTCTAGCGATTGTTGAAAAACTTGTATTGATACTAACCGTCAAACATACTTAAAAACAGACAAAACCTGAAAAAAATATGCAAGAACATTGATTATTTTGTGCATTTCCGCACACCATTCAAAAACTAGTTTGTGAAGTTGTACTTTTTTGTGCTAATTCAACATCTAACTATATTATCTACAAAATGACACCAAATTTGTTATCCTGAGTCTTCTACGTTAAGTAATAAATGCTATCTAACATGGGTTAAAGTATACATAAAAATGACAAATCATAGTTTCTTATAAATAGTTCAATGTCACAAAAAATTCTATGGACGGACGAAGCAAAATTTACAAGGCAGGGGATCATAAAGCATAGAAACGACCACTTGTGGTCGTCGGAAACCGCTCACGCAGTTCGACTGAGCATTTGCCAACAGAAAATTGAATTTCTTGAATACCGAGTTTTCAGATCTACGCCACTTATCAACCACCGGAACATATGGTTGGAGCTCCCACACGCTTTTGCGCTAGAACATTTGGATAGGCAACATTCTCCATTGGATAGGACGTGGAGGCACTGTCGCTTGGCCGCCCCGATCACCCGATTTAACGCCCCTAGATGATTTTTTCTGGGACACAATGGAGCAAAAAGTTTACTGTCATGTTTCGACGACACGAGAAGAGCTCTTTGAAAGGATCCATACGAACGAAATTAGAGCTGACCCGGATATGACCCGCTGCTCAACACGAAATATTGTTTTAAGAACTACAATGTGCATAACCAATAATGGAGGGCATTTTGAACAGCTTCTGTAACATTAAACATGTCCAACCTATTTACAAGAAACTTTGATTTATCATTTTTATGTATACTTTGACCCATGTTAGATAGCATTTATTACTTAACGTAGAAGAAATTTGCTGTCATTTTGCAGATAACATAATTAACTGTAGAATTAGCACAAAAAAGTATTTACAACTTCACAAACTAGTTTTTGAATGGTGTGCGGAATAGCACAAAATAAACAATTTTCTTGCATTTTTTTCTGTTTTTGTCTGTTTTTAAGTATGTTTGACGGTTAGTATCAATACAAGTTTTTCAATAATCGCTAGAACAACATGTTATCGTTCAAATAACATCAAATTTATCATTCTGTGACTCTTATGTTCTCAGTTATTACAATGTTCATACACGCACTAGCGTAATCGTAACGTAATAATAAAAATGGCTGCCATTTCAAGGGGGGTGAGGTAGAACATTGTAAGGGGTAGATTTGTCGATGAAAATAGCTGATAAATACCCCTCTTAAATATCGGTATGTCATGACCAAAAACATTGTATATTATCTTCAATTTCATCTTCAAAATAATTATTATTAACAAACAGTTTCCCGATGTAGGTATATCCTGAAGATGTGGTGGAATATTTATATTTCAAGTTAATAGAAATTTATCTCGAACACTATTTGACCTATGAATACGAAATTTCGCAGAGAGGAAGTTCATGGACAGGACCTGTTAGCTGTTATGGGCAGTTGTGTCTGTATAAATGCGAATATTTCCCTCATGTATAAAAAATTCCATAAGAGGTATGGGATTATCTCAAAATTACAGCGAATGTTTCCCTCATGTATACTAAGTGACATATAAATCCGAACACCCACTTTAAATGGTTTTATTTTAATAAAAGTTGGTGAATGTATTTTTCTTACTGTAAATGACAAGTGAAAAAATTTTCAGCCTTATCAGTTGGACATTCCGGTTTTTATACTGCTTTTTTTTAATTCACTAATGCTCTAAAAATGAATATTTCAGCCGTAGTAAAGAATCAACGTTGGCGGATTTTGGTTCTTGACATCCTTTACGATCGGTTACGATGCCTAGAGTACGGAGACCTGTACGATTTCGTCAACTTAGTGAGTTTGATAGGGGCCGTATAGTGGGACTTCGGGAAGCTGGACTTTCTTTTCGGGAAATTGCAGTTAGAGTGCAAAGAAGTGTAGACACTGTGGTTAGGTGTTGTCAGGCATGGCTTCGAGAAGGCCGTACGCAAAGAGCAAGGGGCACTGGGCGCCGCCGTAGAACAACAGACCGTGAAAATCGCCGCCTAAGATTACTGGCCTTAAGGGACCGTTTCTCCACTACCAGGTCCATTGCAAATGAATGGTTTGCAGAACACGGAAGATCTATTGGCATGCGAAGTGTTTACCGACGAATGAGAAGTTTTGGCTTGTTTTCATACCGGCCACACTGGGTCCTCCCTTTAACTCGAGAACACCGACGTAATCGCCTTGAGTGGTGCAGACAACGGTCACTCTGGGATCAGGAATGGAACAGTATTGTCTTTAGTGACGAGTCTCGATTTTGTTTAGGCATGCACGATGGTCGTGCTAGGGTTAGAAGGCGACGTGGTGAAAGGAGGAATCCACAGTTTTTTGTTGAAAGACATGTTCATCACACTGTTGGAGTTATGGTTTGGGGTGCTATAGCTTATGGTTCCAGGTCACCTTTAATCTTCATCAGAGGTAACATGAACGCGCAGCGTTATATCCACGAAGTTCTAGAACCCCATCTTTTACGCTGGCAGATCCAACTTTCCAACAAGATAATGCCCGACCACATGTTGCAAGAGTCACAATAGACTTCTTTCAACATAATGATGTCACATTGTTACCATCGCCACCAAGATCTCCCGACTTATCCCCAATTGAGCACTCGAGAGGAGTTGGTGGTTGCCTGGAATGAGATACCACAGGAGGACATTGACCACCTGATCAGAAGCATGCCTATGCGCGTTGGAGAATGCGTAGCACATCAGGGTGCATCCACACATTATTAAAGGTCAAAGGGCTTTAAAGCAGTGCAATCATTTTGAAATTTTTATCATTTACTTATTATGCTTCATTAAGTACTTATACAAAATTTTATTAAATTAAAACCATTTAAACTGGGTGTTCGGATTT